CAATGACCGGAGGCAATCTTCTTAGGCAAGCGGCTAAGGGTGAATGACTCAACTAACAATGGATCAGCACAGATAATTAGGGATCCTGTGTTCCATTTTGGACTTCCACATTGATCGTGTGGTGTTCCTCAATGAGAACCTTGTACGCCGGTCGCTTCCTAGCATCTCACAAATGAACTTCGTGAGTCAAACCATTCGGGCCGACGGGGAATGGCAAGCACACGTATGACACCACTGTTTAACACTCAAAATGATTTCCATTGTGACAAACGTGTTCAAACCAATAAATTGATATTTGTATTTTCGTGTGGCTCCAGTCGACACTATCATTAGTCAAAAAATCAACCCCGCTACCTTTCTCCTTCTGACCAACCCTTAGGAGCAAGTCCAAGTGTTGCACTTGATATATGTGAGTTGTTCAAAACTTTAGAAGTATTGATATGGCCTGCGGTGTTAATCCATGGTTTGCCCATTTGCACATAAGAGAGTGTAGGAACTTGCTTGGCGAATATCAGATACACATTTTCGTACTTTGTTCTCATACAGCTAAATAACGGCTTTATTTAATTGGTCGAGTAAACAGAAAAGCCTCTTGCTGAAGTGCAGGTCTAGAAATGGTGCAGCACCTCGTTATTGCAAGTTAAATCAGTGGCTTCCCCCATCCAAAGTCAGTAATATCTATTTCTGAGGAAAGCCTGACAGGGTACTCAATTTCACTGAATCCGTTCTACCGGATGAAGGATTAGGGTCATCAAAAATGGTTAACCAGAGTTTGCATCGAATTGGGCTACCGAACTAACAGTGGAAGAGAAAAGAGAGGAGAAGCGTCGAGATGAGTTCGTTCCGTATCCAAAATGGTGGCAAGTCGAATGAAAAGGAACCGTGAAAGCAGGTAATGTTGTTTAGGATTAGACTCCTACTGGAAGCCGTTGTCGAATTTCTTATGTTTTCGAGCTGCCCCTTCAATAGAAGGTGCTGTTCTCACGAACTGAGGAGAGCATTATACCGCTGGAAGACAACTGCCTTTTGTTTTTCGAGTTTCTTGAATCTTGGAACTTCCTATATTCTGCAGAAATTCATGGATCGTTCTAAGCACAGTATTATGTCCATTAGATGTTCTGCTATTTTCTTGTCTCTAATTCAATGCCCTATTCACGTCACACGCCACATGGGCGGTGAGAAAGACAGGTCGATGCATTGAATGAGTTCTGGATTATTTTGCCACGTCGTTCTGATGTTTTTTATAAATTTTTCATTTTTAACGTAATTGCTTCTCTTATGTAAGTTAACAGAAGACTTCGGGAAGTTTCAAAATGAGAAATAGATTAAAATGAATTAAGCCGAAGATGAGAGGAGCCTCATTGAACGTTGACGGGAAGTGGCCCCCTGCAAACTAATGGTCGAAGAATACGCGTGGAGCTATAATATGAGAAATAACTCACATGGAACTAATCAATAGAGTCTTTATCACTCAGCTATTTTCTCCAAGAGTAAGTGTCACAGCACCAACGGTTCAGCCGTCGAAATACAAGGAAAACGCTCTCTATTCTCGCGAGCAAAGTTCGACAAGCAAAGTTTCAGAAGTAGAACGGCGAGGCTACAGAAAGAGATGATGAACTGACAATTAAAATGACAAAGGCAATTGATCAGCAAATCTGGAAAGTTTTTGCAAATAGTGTCAGTCGATAGGAAATGGACATTCCATTGTACGTGAAGTATTATATTACTATTCTGATACCCAGGAAGGGCAATCGGAAAGAGCCACAGGACAGTCGTCCACCATTGTTATGTTCTCATATGAATAAAAGCGATTCACAAAGATAATTGCAAATCCCGTATCAAGAAGTTTGGATGAGGAGCAGTTTGAAAAAACAGGCCTGGTTTTGAAAGATCTTCAAAACATTGAACAAGATTTTTATTCTGAGGCTACTACTTCAGCACTCGAGGAAATATAGACTAAATCTGTGCATTGCTTCCGTCGGCTGCGACTCAGTAGAGGTCGATGTCACACGGCGAGCAACAGCTGAGCAGAGAGATAGAGAGAGCACCGACATATCAATTTGCCAAATGAAGCGAACTCTGGATGCACGACGACGAATATTAAGCTTCACGACTCTGCCCTTCTTTGGATCCCACTCCAGAAAGGTGTGAAGGAATGAGGGACATTTTTTTTCTAGAAACGGTACTCGGCGGATAGACTGGAAAGGAGAAACAAAGAAAAACGCTGAGCGACCTAATCATTTCTCGTCCATTGAGTGCAAAAATACATCCAAACTTGAAAAAATGAAAGTTGCACAGTCGGATTAAAATCAGTCATCAAAGAAAAGCATATCCAAACTACCACGATACAGAACGCCCAAATAGATGGTACAAATGAATTAGCAAGTTGGGTCTATTTGGACCCGAGAGGA